TTTTCTGATGAAGGGTCTAGGCCCGAAACGTCAGCCTCTCTGCTCCTATGATGCTGCTTGGCCTGCTGTGTTCATCCAGCCCTGCACCTTGTTGTCTCACTACCACTTCTGTTTGGTTAGGAAGGGGATAGCAAGTCAGTGATGGCTGCTAGAAAGCACATGAATGAACAGTGGGTCAGGACTGGAACAGGTCCACTATACTGCAACTCCCTCTCCTCCACTCCCATTGAACACCCTGCCTAGGATGGCACATGTGAAGGATGGCACGCTTCAGATGATGTGGTGAAAAAGGTGGCAGTAACGATGACACATGACCTGCACTGTTCAGTGGCGAGGACGGAGAAACGGTGAAGAAAACTGAAGTGTTCTTTAAACAGACAGCAACAATAAAGAAAAGAAAATACACAAAGTAAACTTACTTTTCCAGTACAGCTGGAGTAAACAGAATATGCAAAGGCCACTGCACTTTGTACGAGAGCCCCAGAGCAGACCAGCCAGAAGTAGGGGCTTCACGAGGGGAAGGTTCACGCAGGGAACTATCACGGTTTTGTGCAGCATCTGTGTTGAGTTGGGCAGGGTTGGCAGGTTGAGGTGGAAGGTGGAGGAGGTGGGGGGGGCGGAAGGTAAAACAATACAATAAACTGACAAGAAAATTATAACCAAGCACAAAATTAATCCCATGATCAACACCCATGAAATGCTATCCTTTAATATGATAGGAATTGAATGTAAAAGTAAGGATGTCATGCTTTAGTTCTACAAGGCATTGGTGGAACTTTATCTGAAATACTGTGGAGAGTTGGTCTCCTTATTTAAGGATGACAAACAGAGGATTTACTTCACAGATTCTACATTTTACCGGGATACTTCCATCAATATTATATTTCTAGACCTAGCATTAAATAACGTTTGTGCAAAATATTATTGTGCCTTGTCCTACCTTTTGGATCTTTGCCGTGATACTCGACAGTGAGGTGCAGGAGTGGGAGCAGGTTATCGTCATCCAATAACACTTTGTGTGCTGATTTCTGGAATGCTACATTGACATCTGAAATGCAGTGATAGAGGCAATAGGAGAAACAATTCATGAGAAATTCAAGCACTCTATTTGTACTTAACTCCAAACGGAGAGAGATTAGAGTGAATATTGGAGAATGAAATATTATTATGCTTTGTTTTGTGCTTTTTTTTAAAAACTGAAAGCAACGCAGAAATGCTAGAACCTCACCAATTAGAATCAGTCTGTTGTTATGCTTCACATGGGCCTCCTCCTTTTGCTCTTCATGTACACGATCAATCAATCCTTCTAGAACTTTCTCTTTCATGTGTTTTCTTAGTTTCTTCTTAAATGTGTCTATGCTATTTGCCTCAACTTCTGCCCGTGGAAACAAATTCCATATTCTCATCATTATCAGGATTAAAAAAATCTTTTTTTCCTGAAATCCCTCATTGAATTTATTAACGAGGGTCTTATGTTGATGGCCCTAATTTTGGTCACCCAGTAAGAGGAAACACTATCTCTACACACACTATCAAACCACCTCATAATCTTATCTATTGAGTTACTCTTTGCCTTTCTGTGTCGCAAAACTATGGGGAAAAACAAAATCTTTGGTTCAGAATAAAAACATCTAAATGCTAACTGGAAATGACTTTACTGTTTAACAAGGAGAGATGGTAGTGATGAGCCATAATCTCATTTCCGTTCAATGCTTTCTAATCTAAGCACCCAACAAAAGTTCAACTTCATGACCAAAGTGTTTGCAAATTGAAACTCATGCTGATGTAACAAAATATAGACATTAGAAACATGACCATAGATGGGCAGTGAAGTGGGTATTTAAAGGAAAGGAAAAACTCATGAAATTTGTCACATTGGGAAAAACAAGGAAAGCGTGTCCTGATTGTGAGCGTGCACTCAACTGCTTATTTACAGCCTGTATCTAAATAGGTCTAATTGGCACAAGTCTACTAATTTACTATGTAATTAAGCTCACATGCATTTTTGACTAACCAAGTAATAAATAAACTAATGCCTCATGTGTTAATTAGAGTCAGAACCCAGCTGTGAAGGCTGTGGGATTGAATCACATCCACTAGTAAATCTGTGGTTGAACCTCAGTTCTGTATGTCTAGGGGATACATGGCATCATAGAAGCTGTACCAGTACAGGGTCCATCAGCCCCAGGGAAACCTTGTCAGTCTAGCTATGGTCACCAGATTTGGAAGACTATTCACCTGGAGTCGGTGACCGAAGAATATAAAGACATTTAATGACAAGCTTCTTTTTAAATGGAGAGTTCTGCAGTGAAAGTCTCAGTGCAGGAGTGAATAAAAACATTCAGTTGTAAGGTTCTTTAGAGGACACTGCACATTGTTTCATGGCCTAGTGGGAGAAGAGTTTGTGAACTGACTGGTCACAGATGTAGGCTTCTGAAAGTATGGAATGAGGCAGAAAAACAAGGATGGTTCAGGAGTGGCACTTCAACCATTTGAAGCCCATTGATCTTAAAAAGATCAATCAGGAAGTGGTAGTGAGGTGGGGCCAACTCAGGTTCTTAAGCTTTGATATTTTGTGGGCGAATATGTCATAAAAAGGAAGTCTAAGAAGTCTCAAAGTCATGCCCCTCTGACCCTCACCCCCTCGCACCCACATATCCCCTCCCCCATTCATGCTGATTTCCCTGCCTTGTCTCTACATCTCTTAATATCTCTAACTAGCAGAAATCTACTGGTGTGAAATTTGAAACAGCAGAATGAGGTGAAGGTAAGTGAAGAATGCTATATTTGGAGCGCTAACATATGAATGCCATTACATTACTTTGACAAAGTACCTGCAGAGATTAATTTCCAAAGCTTAATGACATCCTAAACAAATGCTGGAGCTTTTCCCCAGCTTCATACCTTTAGTGAAATTGTGATTTCACAGTTATTACACATAGTGCCAAAGGAATATTAGGAAAACATACCTGATAAACACCAGCATTCTGATCTCAATGCCAGCATGCCCACCCCCTCTCTCCCTCCCTTCCATTAGTAATTTCACTTTACCATGTTCGGTGACTGCAGTGGGTGGGGTCTTCAGTAAATGCTGTGCACTGTCAATGAAAGCCTGAAAGAGTTCCCCTCGACCCAGCAGATAGAAATCTTTGATTATCTGTAAAAGAGCCCAGGACAGATCCAACAACATTTAGTGAAAACCACATCTGCTCGTCAACAGTTTACAATTGAAGAAATGCAAGAGAAGTGAAAGAAATAGCTTAGTATTGATCTCAGGTGCTCTCCACAATGACAATTGTAAAATTTGTTTTGAAGACTCCAAGGGCGAAGGCCCATAGTACAGGGCAACAGTGACATTGAAAAGTGGAGTTACTGTACAAGAAGCTGTAGCAACTAGTTAACAGCAGCAAGAGTATTAACAGCTTGCGGGTTTGCAGTAAACAGGAAGACAGGGCTTTTAAAAAAGGTAATAAACCTTTGTGAATTTGCTGTGTAGAAAAGTGATCTTGGTACTGGGAAATTCGATACAGGTACTTCCGATTTCTGACATCAGGTGTCAGTATCAAGCACCCCCAGGCAAACTACAGCATGAACCAAATGCAGAGCAAAACCCATCCCAACAACATGCATCTGTTCCAACTGTGTCACATGCTCAGATATCTTCCACTCCGGCCTTTAACAGCTAATGTAGAGGAATGGAAATTCACCATCAAATACAGGACAAACTTTAAAATCAAACAAAGAACTGTGAATGCTGAAGATCTGGAACAAAAACATAAATTGCTGGAGAAACTCAGCAGGTCTGGAAGCACCAGTGGAGACAGAAACAGAGTTAACATTTTGAGGTCCAGTGGCCCAGTTCTGAAGAAGATTCAATCGTTTCAAAACGTTAACTCTTTCTCTCCAGAGATGCTGTCAGAACTGCTAAGTAATATATAAACAGTGCAATCCTGCATTTATTATATCATAGCATTTCTAAGCACATTGTATAAAACGGCACTGTTGGAGTAGTATTAATGAATTGCTGCATTGTCAGATATGTCACATTTTGGATATAATGATAAACCGAGGCTATGCCTGTTGGAGGTGGAAATAAAAGGTCTCATGGTGCTTCTTCAAAGAAAAGCAGGGGAGTTCCCTCCAGTGTCCTGGACCAATAACCATGTTTCAAGCAATATCACTAACACAGATTATCTGGTCAAAATCACACTGCTTTCTGCATGTCAGCTGCTGTATTTTCAATGTTACAAAAGTCTTCACGCTTCAAAAACATTTCATTGGCCATGGAGAGCTTTGACACGTCCTGAGGTCATGAGAGGAATTTTTTTTAACTTTGAGTTTTCTAATAAATCATATTGATTGTTAATTAGCAACACTCTTACAGCCAGCAAACATAAAACTGGATCTGAACAGAAAGGATCTGTCAGAAAGGCCAATAAGTTTTGGGATATATTTAAAGCAGTGTAATTGAGAACCACAAAGTGAATTGTTGACTGCTGATCAACCTTACCTTAAGTTGTCCCAACAGTCCTGCCTCTTCTACCACCAATTTCCATAGATGCTGGTTACATATAAAGAGAAACACAGGGTTAATTGGTGCAAGGAAGTAACCATCCAAATGGAGATGAATGTAGGAGTGCACTAGCACCTGATGGCGTGCCACAGGCACACAATCTGACAGCTATTGTAAAAAATCTTACCTCAGTCCAACTCCATGCCTAAAGTCTCTCCTCTCCCCACCCCACTCAAATTTCTTGAAGGCATTAACTCCCTTGTGAGGTATGGTCTCATAGATACCGCAGCGACAATACACCCAGCAACCATTCTTCAAAATAAATAGCGATTGCAGCAGCACTAAAGCTAAGCATAATTCTGTCCCCATCAAAAATCCCCAAAAGAATTTTCTCTTTCTTGCATGGATCTCTGCCCTGAAATGAAGAACGTTAACTGTGCCTAATTTTACCCTGCCTTGATCCAGGGCTACGGAGATCAACAGTAGTAAGCTGGAAGCACATTTGCCAGTTATTTAGTTTCTGGAATTTAAAAACTCTCTCTCGCCACAATTAATGTAGATATCACGGTGAACAGCTAGCGCAGCTCAGACTGAGAAGCAGATACAAGACCTTCCTGATCCATAGAGTTTAGCACCACACACAGACAGTGGATTTATTCATTTAAACATCAGGGCTAGTTCAAGCTAGCAGATACATGAACCACTGGACACATTGGTGAGTGCACAACAATACCTGCATGCAAATGTCTCAAATTACTTTGATAATTACACCCTTTCTTACCTCAGCAACTGTACTTCTGATCCTATCAATCAGATTTTCAAAGTCCACAAGATTGAAAAGGGGTTGTTGTTTCAGTGTATGCAGCTCTGCTGCAAAAGCATCTTCCTGGTTCTTTAAAATGGACCCTGTGCAACACACATACACACACAAAGTACAACATTACTAGGTTTGGTACATAAGGAACCAAGTATTGACAGTGGCATCTGCAAACGTGAAATTTAATTTAACCAACCCAGTACTTGAAGCTTTTATAAAATGTCTCTAAGTCAGGTTAATCACTAGAAATGAGGCATGTCAAATTCGATGTCGGTGGAATTCCTCTCCCTAGGGAGCAGTGGAGGTGGGTCATTGAATACTTTTCAGAAAGAGGCATACAGATGACAAGTATTGGGGATAAGCAGGAAAGCATGCAGAGGCCACAATCAGGTCAGCCATGATGTTATTGACTTATGGAGCAGACACAATGGGCCGAATGGCATACAGGTCGCTCTCCTATAACACAATAGTTGCATAAAATCATGCTATAGAAAATCGCGTTATAGGGGAACTGCTACAGAAAATCACTACACCTGTAAAGCAGAAAGTTTGTGTTATCCAAACAGTGTCCACTAGTCATCAATCGCGTTATAGCCAATTTGCATTAACAAAACACATGTTATAGCAGAACTACCTGTATGCCTGTTCCTAACTGTAGCGATTGTAACGAAGTCAGCCAGATGGACCACGAGATGGATGTGAATTCCCTGATTGGGGCTGTTAATCTGGTTTGATCGGGGAGCCCTGGCTGACAGGTATAAACAGGAGTGTCAGACACTCTGCTCACTCCGAGGGGTGGCTGTGAGGGAGCCAGACCAGTGTTAAGGACTCTCCACATGTAAATAAAGGGTAACTTAGTGGCTGGAAACCAGTCTCTGTGGAGTTATTCCACTAACTCTTATGCTTTTGCTCTTGAGTTTAAAGTACTAGCTTGTAGAATCATTGCACATTTCCAACACATTTTGTTTCTCTGTCCAGTCTTAGCAGTTTTCTACTTAAAGTAATAAGGGATCTGCTACCAATCCCCTCTATCAAGCTCCACAGTGTTCACCAATGACTATATGAATTTGCCCTCATGATGTGAGTGACATTGTTGAGGCCACCTCTAAGTGGATTTTACAACAATATGGCTTCCCAGATAAAATGGTATGCTTGGCTAGCGATCAGTTGCCCTAGCACAGGATCACAGATGAACCAACTGCCTTTCGCAGCCTGCTGTGATGGGGGAGAATGATGGACACTGCCCTGACCCACTTAAAATCAGGCAGACACCATACAGGGAGCCCTACCTGCACGGGTGTGATTCACATTCTGATTTTCAAACATCTGCACTGACTCTCCTACAAACAAGATCTTCTCTGCCACCCTCACAGGGATATAAGAGGGCAGCATCTCAGCTCGCAGTGAAAATTGCTTGAGAGACGTAGCCAACATGTTCTCCTCTTCGATTAACCGCTATTAGTAAAAGACAAAATCATCAGTACCTGGTGCAACATAGCAGCAGCAATTGTTCAATGAATTAAATAGTTTCACAAATCAAATTATCATGACAGAAGTTGTAATATAGAAAATGCAAGAGCCAATTGGTAGTCAAGCAAACTGCAGACACACACAGCAGCACATCAGTGACAAGTCGATTATTTTTATTTGCAAAAGTGCCATAGGATCTTATACATCCGCTCGAGCAGGTGGGGCCTTGGTCTGTGTGCTCAAAGCCCGGACATAAAACCTTATGATTCAAATGTAAGCATGCGACCAACTGAGCCATGACTGATACATGGCAGCTCTTCAAGCTGTCCTCTTAGCAATCACAAATTCTTCTATGCCATTGCAATGGTAACTACACAACAAAAGTACTTAGCTGGCTGTATTACTTTTGGGGGAGCCCTGAGGTTAGGAAAGGTGCGATAGAAATGCAAGTCTTTCCTCTTTCCTTCTCTCTCTCTTTTGCATTTCAGAGCTGTAATACATATAAATTGTTGTTCTGTCAGCACTGGGAGGGAAGCAAGGCTTTTGCACTCTGGCACCTTGTCTTAAGTACTGCCAGCTGAAGCATATTTTGGCCACAGACACAATTCCATGGCAACTCTCACTATGTACTGGCCTGACATTGCACAAACTCTTTAGCCTTGGCAAACAGAATGGACTCTCCAACCCAACAGTTTAGGCTGCTTTCCAAGTCAGCTCCCAGGGGTGAAAAGATAGTGACATAAGGGCAAAAGGCTCGAAGCAGCTGAGCTAACCAGGGGAAGCACAATGAACATCAATGGTGATGCGGTCATTAACCTACAGCACTTCAGCCGTGCCTATTAATTCAGCTCTTTCACACTGTCAGGTCGAATAACTTCTCCAAGCTGATGCCACTGACGGGTTCGGTTTAAATTAGAATACTAGTTATTGCAACAGGAAGGAAGATGATGCAAAAATATTTGAGGTGAATATTTTCAAATTGTGTTTGCTGATGGCTGAGGTAGCTCTGTCTGTATTCCATTCATCTTAACTAAAGTCACATGCAGATAGAATCACGTACATTTAGACAAAATTACTAAATTATTAACTGGAAGACAGTGGACAGAAATTGCCGTCTCCTTCTGGAGTTTTTGGAAAGGGTAGGTTTGAACCAGCAGCTTGGGGGTGGGGGTGGGGGAGTGGTGGACCTACACCTGAATTAGCCAGGAGGCAAAATTCAGTTTCCCAACAGTCAGTGAAGGGTTTGTTACTAAACTCTCAGGGACTCTCAGGCAGGCCAGGAACTTGTTTTGCATCCTACAGCATGTCACAAATCCTCAGATTGTTACAATTATACTCATGGACGCTGTAATTAATCAAAAAACAAGGAACATGTGTGTTCATAATGTACCTAGCCGGGTAGGCTTATTCCTCCAAGCTTCAGCAAGTATAAGCTTCTTCAGTTAGTTGGCTCTTTTACAATCAAGGAG